CACCATCTAATTGTAATAACTGATAAAATTAACAAAAGACCAATCGAATTATAATCATTATTACATATCTTTAAGTTGTGAAGATAAACGGTATCGGAATTAAGAACCAAACACAACATGAACAACCATCGGCAGGAAAAATAACACTGAAAGATTCTAAACGTGGTGTGAGACTCCTAGTGGGACGACCTGGCGACACATGCACAACATTTCAAGCACGCGCACACACACAACTGACTCCACGTGCCTTCCTAATATTCTAACCTACCAAGTTCTGTAAGCAATCCACATTTACACTAACAGACTACCTCAACCTACAGGATTTAGAGGATAAACAAAGTATAGCAACATCGTCTGTTTCCGTTATCACAGATTTTTTTTGTTTTTTTTTTAATACCAAACCGGAGGAAGCGTATCTAGTTTTGAATAATATAGTAGACTTGTGGTGGCTCAGGTAGAACGGGGAAATGTCAAAACTGCTCCTTACATACGAGCAATAATAATGCCTCGAGTGCTTTATGGTAACAAAGAATGGTATACTTATTGGAAAGAAAATACCAATGAACATGGAACCAGTTAAGGTCGTACTGGTCACCACCACCTAGGAGGGTATCATGCGCCTGGCGGTTATCACAACAACTATGAAAAAAAAATACAATGAAAATTAGACACCCAGATAATGATATACCCAGTTTCAGTAGTTCTATAAAACCATCTTCGTAATAGTGAATAAAATGCTAAAAATCAAAACACAATTCAACCCAACAATTACCTCACGTACGGCGCATTATCCGTGGTTTCTGTGGCCTTCATCTCGCAGTAAAGGATGCCAGCAAGTTTCATAAATACTGTACGATTTTTTGGATAAATTTTAAGAAAACTGTAAACAAAAATCATAAAAAAAGGTTCAATTATTCATATCCTTCATTGTTATTGTAATACACCTCATGACTCCCCTAATACACCTCATGACTACCCCAATACACCTCATGACTACCCCAATACACCTCATGACTCCCCTAATACACTTCATGACTACCCCAATACACCTCGTGACTCCCCTAATACACCGCATGACTCCCCCAATACACCTCATGACTCCCCTAATACACCTCATGACTCCCCTAATACACCTCATGACTCCCCTAATACACCTCATGACTCCCCCAGTACACCTCATGACTCCCCCAGTACACCTCATGACCCAATAACTCTTTGTTTACTGTTATCTCATCTCTCCTTGTCAACTTAACGAGGATTAACTACTTGAGTGGCGTCATTGTGTTCTCTTGTAGCTCTTGTGTGTGTGTGTGTGTCCTTATAACCGATCGTAGCGACCTGTGATGTAATGGTCAGCACGCTCGCCTCGCAAGCGAGCGCACTCGGGTTCCATCCCCGAGCAGGGTGAAACCATGGGGAAGTTTCTTTACGCCATTTGCCTCTGTCTACCCAGCAGTAATGGGGAACCTGGATATTAGTCGATTTGCGGATCGTGTTCCGGGGTAATGGTTAGCCAGTGCAGTTGGCGAGTTGTCCGGTCTTCTCGGACTATTCCTTGACACTAGATCAAGCAACGTCTTAAATGAAAAAGAAAATTTGACCATGTATGAACTAACTTATTATAGCAATGAAAACAAGTTATTCCTCTTTGGAAAAACGTCAATTGCAGTGATCCAGATTTAGCTAACCGTGCAACATAACCCTGACGGTGCTGCAAGGACACAGGCAGTGGTCTCACAAGCACCAAATTAGAGGTTTTATATAGTAGGAATAAGAGAAATTACAGATGATTGTACCGAGAGAGAAACTTAAATTCCCTTGTGGTGAGAGCCAGTGTGGGCTGGAAGCAATGTTGCCACTTCTCCCCACGAGGTTATAATGATGCAGCCTATATAAATAAATCAGTATAGTGTACATAGTGAAAATGAAATAGTTATTTACTCATAATACAGAACCGTGACGAATAAAAAGCAAGAATGAATGAATGAAATAACTTAGTGTCTGGTTCAGGGTGAGGATGGGCTCCTTGTTGACAGACAAGAGAATCGAGGCTGTTTATTTTATATCTCATTACGCTTTAACAACTAAGGTCTTTAAGGGAGTTTTATAGGGGAATAAATGCTCTGTGTCACTAACGATTCAAATACATGACAAATAAAACTATCTTATGGGTGTGGAAAATCAACGATTTTTTAAGGGTATGCATTATCGAATCCAGGTAAAAAAGTCACAGGAAAAAAAGAAAAGTTAACTATCGAATTCTCACATTTTTTAAGGTTAATATGTCAATCAGTTTCAGTAACCTAACCTAACCTTTATTACCGGCCACCATAAATTAATTGTGACTTTTTTCCTAGCCAAAATTGTGACTTTTTTTCTGACTTTATTACCGGCCACCGCATTATCAAGGTACAAAGCCGCCATCACTCAAAATCATTAGTCTTGTACTGCGAAGTGGGATATATTCACACACAAAATACGGGTTAAAATTACTTAAAAAAAATAACAATAAACATTCACCTAAAAATATAGCAAATACTAGGATCAATATTAATATACTGAATGAATGCGAAATATTATGGTAAACTATTGACTGACAGATGTGTAAAATTAACTTCTCAAAATACTGCAAAAATAAATTTACAACCGATGAAAATAAATGAAGAATTATCGCCCAAACACGTCATCTTTCACCCCAAATGTCAAACAATTCTTAACTCTGGATCAATAGACAGTACGTACCCAGTTTAACACATTAATATAGGAAAGGTCGGTTCAATAGTTATATCCAGCATATCCCAGTATAATAAATGGGGGAACTGACGCAAGCAATTATGTAGGTATGACGCAACCAATGGTGAAGATGGCGGTGGCATGACGCAATTAATGGTGGCAACAGTAAAGGAATGGTGCAGACAATGATGGTAGCATAACGAGAGCAATGGTGAAATGGTGGTGGAATGACACAAGCAATGGTGAAAATGGTGGTGACAGTAAAAGAACGACGCAAATAATGGTGGTGACAGTAAAGGAATGACACAGACAATGGTGGTGGAATTATGGAAGCAATGGTAAAAATGGTGGAACGACGCAATTGATGGTGGTGACAGTAAAGGAATAACGCAATTAATAATGGTGGCAGTAAATGAATGACGCAATTAATGCTCAATGACAATAAAGAAATGTGGTGAAAATATAAGCAAGAACAACAGTCGACACTAGGGGGCCAACGCCTTCCTATACACACACACACTACTCGACCAATCCTAACATCAGGATTTTACGGCGCAAAACCTAAAATTAATATTGAAACAAGATTAAATTTCCGCAATATTTCTCCCCTATGATTAAATTACGAATCATGGGAAAGAATAGCCTTGAGTTTATTTCACCTTAAGATTAACCACCCTAACCTAAGACCCCTACGGTTATATAAACTAGAGGCTAATCTTCACGTGATTCGAAAAAAAAATACAGATGAAAAGATTAAAACTAAACTAAAAAATATATAAAGATAAACATAAACTGTATATTGTAACTGGTTAGTATAAACGCCTCTCACTGTCCACTATATTGGCAACACTTGTCTTCTGTAGGTATCCGGTTGTTCGTAACTAAGGCCTTACCTTTTCCCTGGCCGGATATCTAACTTGACTCACTCTTACTTTCCTTGTAGCGAACAAAAACTTAGTCGATCTGAAAATTAATATACTTGAAGAGCTGAGAGAAAGAGATTTTGCTATTTTTTCTACTGAGGTCAACAATTAAATGTACAGAATTGGTCGCCTTTTCTGGTAAACATTTAGGTCAGCGTTTTTTAAATTAAATACCCCAAGGTGAATGTTGCCCGAAGCTGTGTTAAGCTTCAGGTGCTTTAATGAATTGCTGGAGTTAATAAACATCTCGAAAAAACGAAAAAAAAATCATCATCGGAGGAACAAGAACAAACTCAATAGTTGGGGCTTAAAGAAAACGTAAAATATCTGGTAGACTCCAGAAATAAGACAAAGATCGTTATCACAGATGATTGTTTCAGGTTATTCGAGAAAATCGAAGGCTTCTCTTCCTGGTGTTGGCTGTGTTGGTTATAGCAATATTTACCTATTAGATTTGGTTTAATAGGTTGTGGTTAATTAGGTTAAAGACCTGGGAGGACGGGCGACTGGAGTCACCGGGTGTGACAGGGACTGGGACGCTCTCCAAAACGTGAGACAATGCTATTGTTGTTGCAGCAGTACTTTACCCCCGCAACTGCCAAACCTGCACATACAGTATATCAGTCATTGGTTTGTCTTAGCTCAAGGAGCGGAGGCCACGGTCTGCTTCCAACTTCTTTGGTAAATTCAACGTAATTTTTCTTAGATTTGAAACAATGTTATGTTTCGGTAAAAATCCCGAAGATAAGAAACCAATATTAGTAGAGCGAACGTATCAACACCTATAGTCCCATACCATAATATATATAAATATACTGGGCGGGCTAACATCTGTCCCGACAAAGTAATGGCGTAACCCATTAACTGCTGCCTGCTAAGACATGAGATTATCACCTACACTGCCGCCCCTGCATTTCAACACCAAAGGATGTATGTGTGTGTGTTCAGCAGCTGTAATCTCACTCCATAAATCCAATTTATATACAGTGGTTCCCAAACGTTTTCACATGACCCCCCCCCTTAAAGTCCCGTTTTGCTTTTTAACAAACCCCCACACCCCCTTCCCCTATTTAAAAAATAATAATTAGCTGATAATTTTTACACCTTGTACTCGTATTTATATTACGTTCAAGATCAACTAAAATGTAATTATTTTGTCCACGTGTCTTGGGCATGTGGGGAAGATTGAAATATACTATTTTTTTCTAAATTTTGTGAAAATTTCCTATTTCAAAAATCCATATACGTTTTTCACACGGCCTCAAGACAGGCCCCCCTCCCCCCTCCGGAAATACCGACGTATACCATAAACACGTTAAGTGCAGCCGGACAGGTGAGACTTACCTGACTGAAGATCACGTGACGATGTTGTTGCTCGTGCAGCGGCTGATGTACAACCCACACGCCGGGCAAGGTGTCCTCAGCCCAAGCTTGTACTTGCAGTAAACAATTTCTTCCTCAGTTGACTTTCTTATAAACTTTTTCTGTCTGGCTAAACAAGTCAGCAGCCGTCCTTCAGTAGCAGGAGGCCGTCAGTCTTCTGTTGTAAAACCAGTGTTTATTCCCGAGAATTTTCTGTCACGACACAGGTCTATGATGTTTACTTGCTGATGTAAACACAAAATCAGTTTAGTGCATTCTTCTAGTTGACACCTCTTCAAATGAGGTTAAACGTAGTTGAGAACTCAACGTGGTCCCCAAAATTACAATGAATACTTTAAACATAAACGAAATAACCAAAACAACTTGCGATGTGAAGCGAGCGAGAGAACATACACCCTCTCACGTTCGTGGTACAGCGCGCACTGACATGAGCAGCTGAGCTGACTAGCTGAGCACCCGGCGACGTGTTGTTGCTCTGAGAGTTGAGACAGGGAGGTTGCTCGACACTCTCACGTAAGACAGGTGGTGGTTGGCTGGCGCCAACAGTTAGAAACGTTTTGTTCCACTACCAGGCCCCATCATAGGTCGGTCAAAGTATTCCATGGAAATGTAGATCTTGCGCGGCTGTATCACTGACTTCCGTTAATGCACAGTATTTCCCGTGTGTGTTTGTGTGTGTGTACGAGAGCGATCATGAGGGCAAGTGTGTGGTGGTAGAAGGGTTCGGCTTTTTCCACCTTACGGTAATGAAAACTTGCAAACCACTTCTACCACAGCTCATGGTGACAATGGCAGGTCATGGTTAATGTTCGTGGAGGATAATAGGTGGTAGCTGTTTGTTTATTCGTATAGATGACGAGTTCTTGGTACACCTCAAATGTCAAGGTCGGGATAACGAGTGTTAGGTCGTCCTTTAATATCATGGTCGTGTTGGAGGGTACATGGTAGCCGTTCATGACCATGGTCGTGTGGGGTGAATACAGATAGCACTTTATTAGCCTATTGGTTGCACGAACTGGCATATTGTTATTATTTATACAGTATGTTTGTAGGAATATCGATCAGCCTTACAAATGGTAAAGAGGTCAAGTTACGATGACATCCCTTGAGGACAATGACTTAACCCCATGAGTATGATGACTTAACCCCCTTGAGTAGGATGACAACTTGAGTTAGATGACTTAACGCCTTGGTAAGGACGAAGTAAGTTATCGTATTCAAAGGGTTAAGTTAAATACAATAAAGGCATATTGCACTGAGGTGTTTGATTCATTGGCTCCCAGACCTAACAGGCCCCCAATAGCTCCCAGACCTAACAGGCCCCCAATAGCTCCCAGACCTAACAGGCCCCCCAATGGCTCCCAGACCTAACAGGCCCCCCAGACCCCCCCAATGGCTCCCCAGACCCAACCTCCCAGACCTAACAGGCCCCCAATGGCTCCCCAGACCCTAGGCCCCCAATGGCTCCCAGACCTAACAGGCCCCAATGGCTCCCCAGCTCCCCAATGGCTCCCAGGGCAATGGCTCCCAGACCTCCCTCCCCCTAACAGGCCCCCTCCCAGACCTCAATGGCTCCCAGACCCCAACAATGGCTCCCCAGACCCTAACAATGGCTCCCAGACCTAACAGGCCCCCAATGGCTCCCAGACCTAGCAGCCCCCAATGACACCCAGACCTAACAGGCCCCAATGGCACCCAGACCTAACAGGCCCCAATAATAGAATCACAACCCATGGGGCTCATCCGGACTGGTTAAATTAGGTTTGCTTGGGGCCTGGTAGGACTAGGGCCTACCTGTCTGGCAACCTCATGCAGTTCATTGATAACTTCTGGAATGTATTTTCTGCGTTTTCTGTGATGACCCGTTTTCTGTTGGTCTAAAAACAAACACACATGCTTATGAGTAACTATTATATTCCGACGGAGTTACTTTTTAGTGTGTGTAAGTAGCAATTTCTCTTTCATATTTTCTTCTGCTGGCATCAGTGTTATATACATGAATAGTTCCATCAGGGAAGTCTCACAAATTAAGACATTCAAGAATTAGGCGAATATGGAGGGGGTTAAGGTCACAAACAATACATATGACCTATTCATCTGATACAGTACATTCATATTTATAGGAAATTATCTTAATTCATATAAAAATACATTATCACGGCATCATCACTAGTGTTCAAGAGCTTTTAGTCAGGTCAGCTACCGTAAATTTCACCCATAATATATTCCCAAAGACTTCAGCACTACGTATCAACTGGCACTCTCAGCAGTCCGTCTTAAACCAGCAGTGCCACCACACCCCCAACACTTATAAAAAGAGAGACACATTATTTCACATTAATCCTGGTGACTAGATATTGTTAATGGTGTTTACTGTAGATGGTGACACTATAAATGTGGAGGGTACACAGACTCACGCACTTCTCACCTCTGACGAAGACCAGCTAGTTGTCCTGCCTCAACACCCAGTGAGTCAGCACTGATGCAGAGGCGGGGGAGAGCTGTGACTGAACTTCTCTATTGATCGATGTCTAGTCAAATGGGCCCTAGTCTTACCAGGCCCGAAACCCTAATCTAACCTAACTTAACCTAACATGACCTAACCTGACCTGACCACACTACTTTTATATTTGAACTTCAGACAGTGACTCTTGTTTTTAAATGTGTGTGTGTGTGTGTGTGTGTGTGTGTGTGAGATACCGACATAATGAAAGATATTTTGAGGGTTTTTTATACATTTAACATTTCAGCATAAAATTCAAGAGAGTTGTGATCCAATAATGTTTCTCGGATCCCAAATCAACACCACACAAAGATGACCAAACTAATATTCAGTTCAATATAATAATCCCCGTCTTTAGCACGACATTTTTCACTATCATATACGACCATTATTATTAGTAGTAGTAGAAGTAGTAGTAAAAAGTAGAAAGTAGTAGTAGTAGTAGTAGTAGTAGTATTAGCAGTGAAAAGTAGTTGTAGTAGTAGTCGTTGTAGTAACCATGAGTAACCTTGATAGTCTAACAACAATATTTTACCATATAAGGAAAAGACGTAAGATTGTCAAAGAATTTTTTTTCATAGGATGGTACTGAGTGAAGTATACTGGTTAGGTTAACATAACATTTTTTAGGGGGTGTCTAATCTTCAGGTGGTGTTAAAAATGGTGTAGAGCTCAACGATTTTTAAAACATACATTATAATGAAGAGAAACTACGGCACCAAACACGCCGCCACCCTTAGAGACGTAGTTTGGTTGCAGGTCGTGTGAAGTACAGTACGTTAGTCGCATTATAACCACGAGGGTGTTGGTTATTCTCATATAAAAATGGAACAGATCACTTGAAGAATAGGGACCCCAGTTTAATCGGTCTACCCTAATCTAACTTAACCTAACCTACCTTATTATAATCTAACTTAATCTAATCTAACCCAACCACTTAATCCAACCTAACTGAACCTAACCTATCCTAATCAAATTTACTTTAATCTAACTTAATCCAACCTAATCGAACCTAACCTAACTTAACCTAATCTAACTTAACCTAACCTACCTTATGATAATCTAACTTAACCTAATCTAACCCAACCACTTAATCCAACCTAATCTAACCTAACCTAACTTAACCTAATCTAACTTAACCTAACCTATCTTAATATTATCTAACTTAACCTAATCTAACCCAACCACTTAATCCAACCTAATCTAACCTAACCTCCCCCACAGGTAATGTTAACGAGTGATTTAATTATTAGATAAAACGAGCTTCGGGGCTGATGAACTTGTCCACCACTATTGAGAGGTGACGTGGAGTTGCCTCGGGTTAAGTTAGCTGTCACGGGTTAAGTTAGCTGTCTCGGGTTAAGTTAGCTGTCTCGGGTTAAGTTAGCTGTCACGGGTTAAGTTAGCTGTCTCGGGTTAAGTTAGCTGTCTCGGGTTAAGTTAGCTGCGTCGGGTTAAGTAAGCTGCCTCGGGTTAAGTTAGCTGCGTCGGGTTAAGTTAGCTGTCACGGGTTAAGTTAGCTGTCTCGGGTTAAGTTAGCTGCCTCGGGTTAAGTTAGCTGTCTCGGGTTAAGTTAGCTGCGTCGGGTTAAGTTAGCTGCGTCGGGTTAAGTTAGCTGCGTCGGGTTAAGCTGAGTGCCTTGACATCATCTCAAGGTATCACGCATTCAGGTGGTGGTTGGTGGCATTACGCTTTCAGCCTCTCTGTCAGACAGGCTCGTTAGGGGCTTAGTGGAGAGAGAGAGAGAGAGAGAGAGAGAGAGAGAGAGAGATAATGTGTGTGTGTGTGTGAAAGAACATAATCAATTGACATTAAAAATTGTACCGAGACTCTTAACCCGGAACTAAGCGTGTCTTCTGATCTCCACACAGAGAGAAGGAAATACCCACATAAGATTCTTTTTACACAGGAAGGCAGCTCATCATCAGAACCCGGATTTAGTATATTATTGTCAAGGCTAGTTGGTGTATTTCCCGTTTATATAAATGACCACTGTAGCCTCCCCCCCTCTCCTACATTATATAAGATAACGATGATGAATTTTTGTTGGCGACACACACACACACACACACGAAGCAAGGGTCACTCTCTCCTCCCACTCCTCTTCACGGTTCACAATTACCTGAACCAAACGTGATACAGCAATTATGAAACGTGTGTGTGTGTTTGTCTTTGTGTGTGTGCGTGTGTGTGTATGTGTATGTGTGTGTGTGTGTGTAGAGAGAGCCGACACATCCATAACGTGATACACCACCAAGTACACCTCAATATAGTCCCACACGGCTTCAGTATTATCCCTAGTACACAGCACCAGGTCACGCGCCATTACCTGTTGAGACACACAGGAGGCGGCTAATGTGTTGGGTGTTACACTCACCTACTGCCATGGTAACTCCTACAGGCACGTGGCAATTAGGTGGTGGGGAGGGAGAGCATTCGTCCCCTAGTTTATTTCACCCTCTTCTGCACTCTCTCTAGGAGTCCTCGTTGTGTAGCATTTAAGGAGGAAAACCAGGCAGGGGAGGCATAGGTGAGCTCAGGAAGTATGAATATTAAGTAGGTACTCAAGAACTCAGGTGCGGGAACCCCGAGGGACTTGAAACAACGAAGGAAGTGGAGACGAAATGAAAAAAAAATTGACCATTGCCATGACGTGTGCTTTCCAATTCAGTTTGTTATCTATAGTGTCGCCGAGGAGCTTGGTGGAGTCTACAACCTGGAGTGTGTTGGAGCCCAATGTAATGGAGGGAGGTGGGACAAGGTCGGAAGAGAGGTTGATGTGCATAACCATGGTCTTGGTATGGTTGATGGTGTGTGTGTGTGTGTGTGTGTGTGTGTGTGTGTGTGTGTGTGTTCATCCACCTTAGAATACCACAACTGCCTCAGGTGAGTCCTTGAGAGTCCGGGGCAGCTGTTGTTGGCCTCACACTAGAAATA